TGGGCTCAGGGCCAGAATCATAGCTACAGCAGCTGCCTGCCCCTTCCCTCCCAGCTTTGTATGCAAATCTAAGATGAGATCCCCCCATCCATGCTAAATGGGGAAAAAAACCTTGTCTTAGATTTGAGTAAATACAGTATCACAGTTAAACTCAGAGATTTTAACTAGGAATCCATAATGTCTCATTAATTATATTGAGAGACAAAAACAAGTTTTACAAACTCCTGACCAAAGACCTCACAGAATCATGCTATAGCAAACTGTGGATGCTCTTAAACATGCTATCTGCAGAAACACAGGAGAGGTGGATGCTTCCATGTCCTGGGAACTCAAGCCAGGCACTTTACTTATTGCCAATATTCCACAAACCTGGCAACCCTTCCCCACATCTATGAATCTAACCCAGGATGTCCCATTGTCTCTGGCATTGACTCTACCCTATTCCTATATGACACTGGAGCTGCCAGATAGCTGAAGGATAACATAGATTTCCTAAAGAAGCTAGGCACCCTGGAATCGCCAGGGATATTCCCCGCTCTGAGCTTGCACGTGCACATCCTAGAAATTCCCCTGCATGTGATTTCAGAGATCATATTTCATGCTGCAGAGCAAGACACTGCCATATAGTTCCCAGCTCCATGCATGCAGACGTGTGCCTAGGCCAGGCAACTGGGGCTGTTGTCCCACTGGATTGGATCCCTGAAGCCCTGGGAGTGGCAGGACCCTGATCCTGTAGGACAATGGCCCTGGGTGGTGTCTGTCCCTGCCAATCAATTGGAATTAGCTGTGTCAGGACACATTCTAGCCCTGGACAGATGTGGGGGATGGGGACAGGTGCGGGGAGGGGGAAGGGGAGGAAGAGAGAAGTCATGAAGTTGTACCCTGGCTTTGATTCCTGGTCCAACCAAAGTTTCAATCCAGTTGCCTGCAGTAGCAGCAGCATTTCTATTCAGGCAGCAGTGAGGGAGTCACTTGACTTCCTGGTTCATTATAATCTACCTGCTTCCTTCTAAACAGCTCGTTCCACTAACATCACTCTCTCCCTTTTAATGGTGTTGATGTTCCATTAATCAAGCTATTCCTTTTTCTGCAATTCTGGTATGAGCTACTCCCCTTAATGTAGCTCCTATATGACAGCCCAGAAGACTGTTTTTAACTCTAGATGAAAACCTCAATTTCGGTATGAAAATGTTAACTTTAGTGACTATCAATTCAGGTGTGGAAATAACTTTCAGTGAAACATTGGATGCACTGTCAAGATACTTAAGAAGGCTAGATTTTGTTTTAGGAATTTGAAAGAGATGAACATTTAATTCTAATGACACAAGAATTAAAGAAGCTAACATTATTTTTTGCTTAAGTTTGTTGTGTTTTTATAAATAATGTACCCTATAGCAAATTAGTGGACATTCCAATAAAGCTATATTTGTTTTTACTTCAATCTTAAACTGAATACTACAGCCCTAGCACATTAGGCCTTTACCACATTGAAAACCTAGTTGCTTTTTACCTGGAGAAAGATATGTTGTGTTATATGTGATAATGCAACACACTACATGCACTCCCCTTTTCAAAATTCTAGATCTCCCCATCTTCTAGCCTCCTCAATAGGTTAAATGCTCTGTTTTTTCCTCTTTGGTTTTCTAAAGTCACCTTTACTTCTCTAAGCAGTGGTCCCTCTCTCTCCCTTCTATTTTTCCCTGTTCTTTATATTTAAATTACCTTATTCCTATTTAGTACCCCTGCAAGCACATTCATAGCATCTAACAAAGTAGGTTGTAGTCTATGAAAGTTTCTACTTTTTTGAGTAAGTTAATCTATAAGGTGCCACACTGTCCTGCCTTCGTCCTGATTTATAGTATTATGGTTATTTGTGACTGTTTTTTCCAGTTTGTTTAAAAAATGTGTTTCCAGTTATATTTTTTTTATGCACTTAAAAAACTAATTGATTTGTTAAAGTGGAGTTCTGCTAAATTCACAAAAGTTATAGAGGGATGCCTGGAGTCCAAAATGGTTGAGAATTAGGGTGTGCAAAGTGGGCCCTATTTGATTCAGATTTGGCCTGAATCAGGGACACTGATTCGATTCATTGATTTGGATTACTGTCCCTGATTTAGATTTGGCTGAATCTGAATCTGAAGATTCAATGCTGATTCAGAGAATCAGCGATTCAGCCATAGGCACAGCTTTAAATGTTTTTTTCTACATACCTCAAAGTACCAGACACGGCTCATGAATGCTGCGATGGTGGGGCAGATAGAGTGTGAATCTTTCCAAATCTCTCCGAATTGATTCGGAGGATTCCGATTCAATTCAGAGAGATTAAAGGGTCCTCTGATTTGATTTGGATTTGGAGATTCAGCTACTGAATTGGGCCAAATCTCCGCCGAATTGAATCAGGGACTGAATCTTTGCACAGCCCTATTAAGAACCACTGCTGAAGACAAACAAGAAAACTAAGGTGTTTCAAGAAGTGTGTTGTCACTAATTCAGTAAGAGGCATTGAAGTCAATATAAAACCAGTTTCATAACATTAAGCTAGGGGGCCCTGTCCTTGAGGAAGTGATGTCTTCTGGATAAGTTTTAAACCAAAAAAGCTGATTAGTCACAGTTAAGATTCCAATTTAAGAAGCTGTGTATTCAACTTATGTAAATTCTCACCCAGCAAATTTGGTTGCTGATATAATTTCTTACTTCCCACACCAAAAGCTGCCATACAGTGTCAGTCTTAAATAGCTGCTGTATTTCTGTGGTAGATCAAGGATCTGTATAAATACATAGTTAGTACACTACTTGAAAAGTTTTATGGAGACAAGGCACTATTATGGAGGCACATAAGAAACTCTATAGTTAATTCTGTAGCCAGAATTTCATTTTCCAAGTCCACTCTACTTCTGATTCCAGGCAGTGATTTATCTAAACCTGCATGAAATTAAAATAGACCAAGAGAACATTTTTTTCCTCTGAAAACTGGAAAACTAAAAGCCTACACATAATTCAAGCCTACATAATAATAAAAAGCCATGTGTTAGACACTGTGGTAGTGTCTTTAACATGCACCAGCTACCTGTTCTTCAACATAGGGAAGATGAACACAAAATTTTCCATCTGTGTACAGGTCTCTGTCCATTGGGCTGTTTCCACTGAAAGGGCATCTAAAAAGTTAATAATGAACCTTCATCATTATGGACTGGAACTCAGCCAGCGGCTTAGCAATTACAGTTTTAATTGCCCAGTGATAAAAGTTTTAATTACTAAGCAATTAGCTCTCAAAGTTTCAAGTACTATGCACTTTACTGCATTATGTAACTGCCAGGGGCAAAAGATGATGCAGCTAAGTGTGTTAGGGAAAAGCCCTGAACAAGAGGTGGGGGCCTGATAGAAGGGGAGGCAGCCAGGAAGTGGGTTCAGGCTCCCAGTTTTGGTGTTCAGGCCTCACACAGACTTACTATGCTCCAAAATGGCAAGGCTACTTCCCATACAGGAGAATAGCTGGGAAGGTGTGGGGGAGGAGAGGAGCCAAAACGAGGGGCTGTCTGGACCTGGAGCAATGGTGAGGGGTTTAGTGGTGAGCCAGGATTCATATTGGACCAGCAAATGAGGTTTCATTCTATCATTTATACTCTGGTTAGAGCTAGATATTTGCGATCTGGTTGGGGAATCGAGCATAAAAACAGCCAGAGCTGGCCAGGGAGCAGGGCCAAGCATCTATAAAAGCTATTATAGTTGCTCCAGGAAAATTTTGCATGCCCAGCAACTCAAGCTTTAAACGACACTCCAGCTTTCTCGAGGCAGTGTGCAAAGACTGTCCCTCAGATTCTTAGCCACGCTGTTTATCAACAATAAAAAGGGAATGTCAATGCAAAATACCAGACAAAAGAGCAAGACAAAAGTGACTGAATTTCCAGAAAGGATGGATGTGAAACTCTGAAAACTAAACAACGGGGAAAAAAGTTGACCAGGTGATAACACCCCTCTTGAATGGTCTTACTCTTCTAGTTGCCAAGTTATTCTTTCTGCTGCATTTCTCTTCTCTGTTAGTGCCCTGATAATATTCCTTATATCCTGTTTTTATCTACGTATAGAGTTTTACACAGATCTTTATTATATCTGCTGCTTGGCTTAAGCTGAGTCCCCTTTTTTCCCTCCAAGACTGAAGAAGACTACTTGGTACCCAAAAGCTTGTCCATTTGCCTCCCAACCTCCCAAACATACATTTGATTCAATAAAAGATATCACCCACAAAAATCCTTGCCTCTTGCATTTTTTCCTGGACAGTTATGGCTACAACATCTCCTCATACAACCGCACACATTTTGTTGCCATTTTATCAACCCAGTAGTTCCAAAAGTAATTTAAACCTTTTCAAAAAAATTAAAATGACCAAAAGTTTGAAATTTTATTTAGAACTGTAACATTCTGGATTTGGAGGCAAATCAGAACTTTAAAAAAATCATCGTGACATTGTTCTCTTTTCGTGGCTCATTCCCCCCCACTTGGGGTCTGGGCTCTGAAAAAATGATTTTTTTGTGGGGTCACACTCCCTGGATAGATTAATTTTAGATGTATCATAGACAAAACTGATTGCTTTCAGCAATGAGTGGATACTGACCATGGAGTATTGATGTTTTATTTTTTTTCTTAAATCAAGAGTCAGAAAATTTGTGAATGACTACATTTATGGGAGTCTTACATTCAAAGCAATATGGTATGACACTATTTCCTTATATTGCACTATGAATACCAGGCATGGACAAGATCCCACTGCATTAGAGGCTATATGAAATGAAGGTTCCTGCCTCTAACAGCCTAGTCTAGTATGTCCAAGTAATTCATTCTCTGACCCAGTGTAAGACTGGTCTTTGCAATATATTTTCTAGGTTTCATCCTGGGTACTTTTCTGAGACAGCCTGTACTTTGGTTATAATGGATATAGAAAAAGCCTTGGTTCCCTCAGTGTACGTCACTGAAATCTTTCTTTCCATTATTTTTTTTTTCAGCTGTACTTTTCCCAACTGCTCAGCGAGCGAAGAGGTCATCATCTGACCTTACTGATCCAGTATTGCAGAACTCACTGGAAGATGTGGACTTGCTTTATGAGGTTCAGTATATAGGAACAATAGCATATCCAGTCCCATAAAAGACTGGTGTTATCATTTCCAATCCATTTTATCTTCTTCATTTTTCCATATCCCTTTGCTTTACCTCTGTTGCCAACCATGCCATCTATTACCTTTGTTATTCTACTACTGGATACCAAAAAGAGGATGAAAGGCATGTGTACGTCTTAATGTATAAAATATACTTATCCCAAATTACAGATGCAAGAACATTCAGCAAATTAAAGCAGATCTAAGCATGTCTCAATTCAAAGAGAACTCCTGATTAAAAGCACTAAAATTATTGCTTAAGAAATTCTCACCTCACAACCCTTAGATACACCTAGTAATGGACTTGAGAATTGCATAAATGGGGATGCAGTTGGATCAACATGAAAGGCAATACCCAGAACTAATGCCCTTACATTGCAAACATCCTACTTCTACCCTCTGTCTTTAGCCACTTGGTGCCATTTTGTTTTCTTGATTGCAGATTCACACTAAATCAATCAAGCAAAATACCCAGGATACCAAACACCAAACATTGAAATTAAAAGCAAACAGCCTGGGGCAGTATTGGGCAATATTAATATTTCATTTCTAAAGACTGGGGTGAAGCGCTGTGTTTAGGTCACATTTGAAAATTATTATGGTATTTTTCACCTAGCGTAGATTAGAAAACATTCTGGTAAAGTTCAGCATGACGAGAAAAGACTGAATTAGAAAAGCAGAGGTTCCATTGGACAACATTTAAGGAGCCTTGGACAACTAGAGCAGTGACATCAGAATAACAACTTGTAAGGATGGTAGAGATGAACAGTTAATTGCAATAACAGCTCCATGTGTTTCTGCATATGTGTGTATGCATGCATGCAAGCATACACCTGTGGGAGTGAAGACCATGAAACCAATAGCACGGTGTACAGCAGATGCATCCATAGGGTTAGTTGTTTCTGTGTTTAGTGAGGTGTGTAGACAGGATTGGAAAAGCAGAGTAAAATTTTTAAGTACTCGTTTTTACACAAAAGCATTCAAATACCACTGTGATGGGCATTGAGCACACAATAGGTGGATAAGAGAATTAAGGCACGCTGGTGGAACTTTAAAGGCAAATGTACCCAGAGACTCTCTGCTCATCTCTGGCTTTAGCCAATGTGGTTAGTACTTTGTCTACATGTTTAAAAGACAAGAAATAAGGACATATTATGAATTTGTATTTATCCTATACATTTTCTGTTAGAAGATAAATACCTTTCTGATTTTGTACCAGTTTCTTTTAGCTCAGCTTAAAATTGGCAAAGGTCTGAGAATCTCCATCAAAGATGAGGAGTTAGCTTCACTAAGGAAGGCTGCGGCATTTGACACTGTCTGCAATGACATTATCCCCAAGAGCCTCACAGAGATCCGCAGGCTGAGTGCCAAGCTGTCTAACTACCCAACGGTCCTCAAGAAAGAAGATTTTGAAAGGACAGTGTTGACCATGGTCTACACGGTTTATAGGGCAGCCCAATCCCGGGGGCACCAGAAGGATGCTTGGGCTGAATCTTTTGTCAGTCTCTACCAGGCCCTGAAGCATGACTTGATGTTCTCAGACAGCAAAAACTCATCATAGTGAAGAACTTTATACACCTGGAAAGCAACCAGCTCTGCTGATAAGGGACACCTAGCACGTCCACCACTGTATTCGTAAACAATTTAATAGCCTGCTTCATTAAAAATTCTTTATTCTCTAGCTCCCCCTAGTGGGATCCACTTTTAAAAATGCTAAATAAGAGAAAAAATGCCTTGTTTTCAGTCCCTGGAATCTATTATCATGCTGGCATGGAGGATAGTATGGAGTGCATATATGCTTATATATATGCACTAAACAGCTGTACCTTCCCCTTATCCTTGGGATGCTGATATAATATAATATGTGCTACCTTCCTAGCTGGAAAAAAGATAGTTTAGCTGCTGTGTAATGAGATGTTAACAGACAGAGAGAAATCCTTTATACAGTAAAAAGGATTCATGACAATTGGTTTGGAGATTGTTGCATAAAAGTAATTAAAGTATTTTTGCAAATAAAACTGTCTGATTGGTTTCATAGTTGTTCCCAGCCTTTGGAATGACTTGTGTGTGTACATTTGGTTGAGCTAGTTTTTATTCTGTAGAGTGTTTTCAGAAGGCAAAGTGCATTGAGCAGACCACTTGTCCCCCACAATAAGTATTTGTGAAGGCACTCTCTCCAGAAAGTCTGCCCCTTGCCAGGCTAGAAAAGATCAATCTATGATTTGCACATGACACTAAGCCTGCCACAAAACTCTCCATGGGCACATGGATCTGTTCACATGGAATCAAATGCAGAATCAGGGATCAAATTACTTTTGCTATTACATGGTTTAGCTGGACCCTATCACTCCAAAGTTAGTAAGTGAACTAAACCTTAGGTTCAGAGCACGTGTGAAAAGGTGAATAAAACCATATCTATAGTTGAACTTTGGTTCAAGAGAGAAAGTACAATCCAGTAAGGAAACACCTATATAATTCTATGTGATTTAGGTGATTGAGCAAAGAATCACATGGTGGATATTGAGAATGGTGAACAGAAGGCATTCATACTGACTTGCTAATGAACAAAACATAATCTGAATATATTTACACAAACAATTTAATAAGCAACCACAAATTATGAACAGATCCATGAAAATCATGACCTTTTTACAGAAAATTGAGCAAGAAAGGAAAGGTCTCTATTGGTAAGTCAATTTGCAATGAATCTGTCCTAATGACAATGTCCTAAGTTTCAAAGCAGGATAAACTAATCCCATTTCTCTAGATCCCTTAGATATTTCAGTTATGTCCATTAACACAGTGTCTGCATACTACCAAATACCTGCTACCCCTTTCATATTAGCACGTTTCTTTTAATTGTCCAATATTTTCAACTTTATAATGGAAAAGTGGCCCAAACCAACACCCCAGAGGGAGGCAGGTGTGGTTGAACTCCAGGGTCCAGATTCAGAGCCACAATAACTTCTCTTTGCATTGTTCAGGCCCTACAAAAGGTACAGGCCCTAAAAATTCCCTAATGGTCATATTCCAAAGAGTGGGGCATTCCCCAGGCAGCACAAAACCAGCAAAGCAAGGTCCCTCACTATCATCTCTGCAACCTCCATTGGAGGTATACTGGGAACAATAGGGATAAGGAAGGTGAATGGTTAGAGTGCTGACAGTTCCCAGCTGGTTTGTGGACCCTTAGGAGAGCATTGCTAGATGGTACATCTGCTAATAGCCCTATGGTCAGACTCTTGTCAAGTTGTAATTCATTAAAAATGGTGTCTATATCAGATATCCTTAAAATGTGTCATTATCATTGTGTGCATGGGTGTGTACAAAAACAGGGGTTTGGGTTGTAGCCATGTTGGTCTAAGGACATAGGCAGATAAGGTTCTTTGGGTGAATTTAATATCTTTTATTAGACCAACCCAAATAACTATTCTCCAACCATTTGGGTTGGTCTAATAAAAGATATCAAATTCACCCAAGGAACCTTGTCTGCCTATGTACAAAAACAGAGTATTCATAAACAAGAACACCATCTTAGGAATCCTTTAAGGTTGGCCTTTACATACATACCTAACAGAAAGCCTCAGAACCAAAGAGATGAAAAATAAAGCCATGTAAAGGTATAGGACCTTCATCCCTGCACTTAGAAATTCATACCTTGGCACTAGCCATATATCCTAATATAATCCTAATGAACTCTGCCCCAATAAAGATGTCAACCATCCAGGACTTCTTTTGCCAAACTCTTAGCACTACAAACAGACCAACAGATATTCTATATGTAATGCCTCTAATACACAGTTCTAGAAAGGCACACTCCCACATTACACAATATTGATGGATTATTCTGTGTAAAAAT